GTCCCCTGCGCTGGCAGTGTGGAGATATGCGCGATCCCGGTGCTCTCGGGATGCGCCAGGCTCCCCGGGTTACATCCCATGAAATGCTCCTCGGGGAGGTTTGTAGGGTGCTGCGTTCCTCAGCAATAAATCCTCCCTCTCCCTGATAATTAATCATCCTTCCCCAGCATTTCTCATGTACGTGCTTTGCTACAGTCCGATCAGCAGATCTTAAAATTGTCTCTTGCTGCCTCAGGTCCTTGGTGCAGGTTGGTGCTTCAGGATGGACCCACTCTTCCCTGCCCACATTTTTGAAGACCCTGACCTGAGAAAGCTGCTGAATGACTCCTCCATGCTCAACCTGAGCTTTCTCCCCAGCAACTGGTTCAACAACAGCACGGGGGACAGCTTCCTGCCACTCAGCATCAAGATCACCATCGTGGTTGTCTACTCCATCGTGTGCATTGTGGGGCTGGTGGGCAACTGCTCCGTCATGTATGTGATCGTCAGGTAGGACACTCCAGAGGCTCCAAGGAGGGCTGGGAGTGGGGCAGACCTTCCCCTTCTCCCAGTCCCTGCTGCAGGTGAAGCAGACAGGTGCTTCCCTGGTGCTTGTGATGTGCTGTAGAGGTAACGATGTGACATTTGTTTTATTGTTTTGGTTTTATTTGGGTTTTTTCCCTACCTAGGCTGAGATGAAGGTTTCCACCAGTTTTCAGCTGCCCTCTGGTGCCTCCTAAAGTTTAACCCAGAGAATGGAAAAGAGCAAGCAGACCTGCTCAAAAAATGGGGCTTTTTAAAAATAATTTGTAGAGAGCTGGATGTCCCTGGCAAAGGAAATGTGCTGGGACCATCCCACTGCCAGGGTGTGCTGGCTTTTTAATGGGACCTCTATTTCCTGTTCTGTGTCCAGCATCCCAGCTGTGTTTGCAGGTGCTGCTCCATCTGGGAGCTGGCTCTTTCCAAAGCTGAACCTTGTTGCAAGGGGAAGAGCCTGCTGGGAGGCTCTGTCTTAGCTGTACAGGAGAAAAATCAGGGATGTAACTTTTTAAACCCTTTGGGAACTGTAGGCATGAATAAGATGTGAGAGGGTGGTGCAGAGTTGAGGGCAACATCTCTGGCTCCTTGTGCTGAAGTCAGGAGGGCAGGAGGGACCTTTGCAGAGGGACAGAGCACATAGCATACACCACTGCAGCCTCCCTGCACATTGCTGGCATTTTGAGTGTCCCTGTCTTTCTGCTATGGTTCAATCCCCTCTGTTTCTTGGAATCAGAAACCTTGTCCCCCCCTGAAGTACAGAATAAGTTTATGCAACTGTTAGGGTTGTGGTTGTGTCAACCCTCAGCACTCCCATTCTGATCTCTGCACCCTGCATGTAAAGGAGGAAGCTTCCATTTTATCTGTGTCTCACAGCAGATTCCTGGTACAGGTGGATCCTGCCAGCACAGAAAAGACAGGCTGAATTTGTTTTCTCCTTCAACAGAAGATGAAAATGTTTAGCAGGTATTCAGACACTGATGAGATTAAGTCTGGCTCCTCCCTGGAGTCCAACTGTTTCCAAAGCATCCCTGAATACACACAACTCGGCTGGGGGAGATGCTGCAAAATTAAGGCTTTGGTATCACAGGTTGCTGAAGGGTGGTTGAATCTCTGCTGCAAGGGCAAAGTGACGTGGCTGTTCATCAGGCTGCCTGGCTGTGCTCTTCCTGCAAAGGATTTTATGGCAGGGAGAAGGGATCCCATTAACCCTGGGGAGTATGAAAGTTGAGAGAGCAGGTTTGCAGTGGCTGATTTGAGTAGTTTGTGGGTGCATTTAAGTGTGGTGAGCAGTGAGTCCTTGTCCCATGGTAGTGCAGCTCAATGGGAATGCCAGCCCGTGTGTGTGCAGGGGAAGGGAGTCCATACCCCATGCATGAGCCTTAGATGTGTGTAAGAAGGAGAAATTGTGAGAGAAATCTTTTCCCTGTCTGCAAAGGTCATGTAGGATGTGGACAGCAGGATCCTGCTGGCCCCTGCTCAGGGCTGTGGCTGAGGTATCACCAAAAAACATGAGTGTCCCAAGACAGCATCGTGGTCAGAGCAGACCTGTGCCATGGCTATGCATGCAAACTGTTGGCTTCTGTCCCACACCTTATGACTTGGACACCTTCCAGTTGTATAAATGGCACTCAGGAAAGGAAAGTGGGATTTAGCACTGGATTTGCTGTTTGTAAGCAGTTGAAAACTGAAGACAGGTGCCACCTGGGCTTTTCCATGTCTTTATTTCCCTTTATCCAGAAGCCTTTATATATACAAAAAAGTCAACAGAAGGTTTGGTTATTTGGGTACTCCCTTTCAGGGTTTCACCTCTGTTTCTCAAAAAAAACTCCTTATATGTGATCTGGAGGGTTCCCTTGAAAAACTGTGTGCTGGGGAAGTTATATTGAGCTAGAGTATATGTAGAAGCTGCTGTTCCCCCTGGTTCTCCCCATTGGTGTCCCTTGGGAGCTCAGTACTGAGCTGAGGCCAGCACTGAGTTATACCCAAGGAAATGACCCTTTTGTCAGTGAGTAAATACAACTTGTGGTTGTCTCTGCCCAGGATTCTTCTCCCTTTGCCCTGTCTGTTGAGGTTGAGCAGGTGTGAGGATAAATCAGACTCCGTATCTCAAACTCTTGACCCTGATCATGTATGCAGTTTGATGCAGAGCTGCCAAATTACTGGCCATAGTAGAAGGATGCTGATGAACTTCTCAAACATACATTTTTCTCCTCACATTGGAGCATTGATACTTCTTGCCTTAACTAGCATCTGTTTTTCAGAGGCTTGAAAGTTGGTTGCTGGTAAGTCAACATGGGGTTTTGGGACTCTTAATGATATATCTCTTCCAATAATGGAAAAATGATTGGCAAACTCTCTGTGCTGCACTTCTAACACCTGTAGGTATGGTACACCCTACAAAAGTTGGGTTTTTTTTCTTCCCACCCTTCAGCAGGGTTAACCAGACTTCAACATATTACACAGCCCATAAGAAAATGTTGTATATGTTCCAGAAAAAGAATGGTACAGTGTCATAAACAGTAATTGTTTCCTGTTTTTGAGAGAGTTGGGAAATAAAAAGACTTCAATACAAGCACTCGAGGAAATTGGAGGCATGAAGAAGGCTCATTTTTTTTTTTTTGTTCCTCTTGAATGAGTTTTTTGCAGCACTGAGCGAAAAGTTTGAACATCTCCTAGTATTTCACACAAAAGTACAAATTCAAAACCTCCTCTAGGTTTTCCCCTGTGTTGTAGAACCCAGCCTACATCTCTATTATATTTGGAGTGATTTAACATTTGGAATGATTAATTTATAGAGACAGTCATCATGTGACTGTCAATCCCTTCCAGTGCTGAGCAGCACTAATTGGGTGAGACGGAGAAGGACTCTCGTCAGGAACACGATTTCCTGGACAGTAAAGGGCCTATTGTGGAAACCTGCCTTGTCTGTGCCTTTGTTCTGCTGGCTCATCATGGAGCTCCTTGCCAGCAGAGATGATGCCTCCCCTCCCTCCTCCTTCTGCTGTTTGCTCTCTTCTGCATATATTTCCTGTTCTGCTTTTTAATGAATGTGAAACAAGGAGTTGAACAGAGAGAGGGTGTGGGGGAGAGTAGGGGAAACAAGACTGCTGAGATCCCTCTAAGCTATTAAGTGAATTCTGTAAGGCTCCTTGGCCAAGAGCTGTGTTTTCAGAAAGGGAAGCAAAGGGGAAGGAGTTTGTATTGTTCTGGCAATGGCCCTAGGGGTGGCTGATTCATAGGGTTGGTGGTGATGCTGACCCAGGTGGTGTTGCAGGAATGTGACAGATACCCCAGAACCTCTGTCAGCCACTGGTGTGTCAGGGAAGGGACAACATGGAGCTTCTGGTCCAGGGAGTCCTCTGTTGTCCCTAGTTCCATCATGCTGCTATGATGCTCAGTAGTGATGATCTGGTTCAGGTCCCCATTGGAATGATGCCTCATTTCTTGGGCACTTTGCTATGGCAGTTCTCTGTTGGGAGCCCAGCAAAGTACTGGGGATGCTCAGCTCTCTCTATTGAAGAACATTTTGAGAGCATTTTAAGCAATATTTTAGACAGATTCAGGCTGTCAGGCCCCTACACTTCCATTTGCTGCTTCCAGGTGAAGCTTGAGGGGGAAGGATGTGATGGGGAGTTGCCTGCACTGGGTGCCTGCCTGGGGTTGCTGTGCCAGCTGTTATTCTGCTCGAAAATTGCCTCAATCCTTGAGACTAGGGGTAAGAACAGCTGGCTGTGATGAGACAGGGAAAATGAAGTTAATTATGACATTGCAGAGATGCTGATTTCTTAATAGAAAGCTTTCTAAGGGGAAAGCCTTGACCAGCTATGTGTCTCAGAGCTGAAACGGAGTGAGTGCTTAATGGGGACCCAGCGGACACCAGTGGGGCCATCTGAGACCTCTGCTGTCTTCAGATTTTCTTCTTAGTTTTTCCTGAAAAATATAGACAATTCTTGCAGCTTATAGAGAAGTGAAACCCTCACTGAGAGCTCTGTGCCCTGGAGACTGAGTGGAACCGGGAGAGGATGGTGAGGTGAGCATGGTGGGGACCTGCTGTGACAGTGGCTGCAGAGGACAGGTCTGCAGCTCCCTGATTTCTGGGTCCCCATGAGCCCAGGTAAGCTGGACTCAGTCACATAACTCATATACCATGTCTGGCCCCTGCTAACATAGATCTTTTGGCTCCAGTGTGTGTTGCAGAGTTCTTTGTTTCACCTGGCTTTGGTGAGATGGGTGAAAGGGAGTTGCCCACATGCAGCAGTAGTTCTGTAATGTTTAATGTGAGACTTAGCTCCCAGTGTTTTTCAGGGACTGGGCAACTCTCATCAGCATTTTGGACATGGGCAATTCAGCAGAGGCAGATCTGGCCCACCAACTGTGATAAGAGCATCTTGCTGCAGGATGGATGGTCATAAATCCACTCCTTAAACCAGATCACCATTCCTGGTGGCCAAGCAGCTGCTCAAGGAGGTGGGAGCATCCCTGTGAGCCCCTGAGTGAGCTGCTGAGACTTTGTCAGCTGCAGCAGCCACCCAACCTCCTCGCTTGGCATGGCAGCAGTCAGGGCTATGCAATGTCCCCATCCACACTGGTCCCCAGAGATCACCTGGAGGAGAGAGTGCAGCACTCATTTTTCATAGCTGTCACCTAGACATAGCAGTGAGACTCAAGGGCAAGAAAATAATCTCTTCCAAAGTGTGTGCTCACCCTGGCTGGCAGTAGACTCTTTAACTAACCCCTCCTAGTCATTCTCCATTCTGCTGGGTAATTTATAGGCTTTTAGGTGCTGTGTTGCTGACTGCTTTTACTGTAGCATCTAGCCTCAGAGTCCAAAGTAATTTTAATTTGTCCTTCTCAAACTCTCTGGGTTTTTTTTCAGGGTCTGTTGAACCATTAAGAATAAATCACCTTGAACTGGTCAGAAATTTCAGGCTGAGGGGGCTCTGAAATGGTGATGAGAGCAGCAGGATGTGGAGAGCACAGTGTGGGTGTATGGCTGAGGGGGACACAAATCATGATGGTACGTGCTAGATCAAATATCACCTTCACACAACCTGTGGGCTACCAGCAGGCTGGGAGCAGAGATGAGAGAATTGGGGCTGTTTTCCACCATCACAGCATGCAAGTAGCTCAGTAAAAATCCTCCCTGAGCCTTTTCTGCTCTGTTTTGCTTCCAGGTGCATGTCCAGTGACAGAGGCAAAGGCTGTCACTGCTGCCAGGGTGTGAGGTGGGAATGGAGAGAGCTGTTCAAGGTGAACAGCACAGTCTGCATCCCAATTACCTGGAGCTACAAATATCCAAAGCAAGAGGCTCCAAGGGGCAGAGAGCTCCTGGAGGAAATGCTCAGGGATCCCCAGGGCTGCAGGCTTTGCTCTGGTCCCTCTGCCCCTGTTGTCTGCAGCCCCATTTTGGGTTGTTGGTTTGCTGGTCCTTAGCCCTGGGACACCCAAAGCTGCTCACTGGCCTGCAGCCTTGCTGTGGCTGGGTGGAAAAGAGGGGGAAAATGCTAAAACAACAGGTCTGCAGCTCACTGTGAGTCTCAGTGAGATACAGAATCTATTCTTGTGAGGAACAGGTCCTCAAAGCCCAGGGAGGTGCATCCTACCTGTCTTCTCTTCCAGACTGTGTGTTCCCATCACTGAAGCCCAGTTTTGTTCCAGGTAATGCTGCTTGAGGTCCACTTACCAAAAAGCAGAGAAAGATGAGTGCTGAGCTGATATTCAGGTGTTTTTCCTCTTAGGCAGAGAGAATAGGAGAGCAGAGCAAAGCAATTACTGTTGTGACAAAGGTGGAGCTGGATGGAGAGCTGACAACTGCCTTGTGGGAGATGCTCCATTAGGAAATTACTCTGGCAGAGTGCAAAAAGTGGCTCAGCAGGGAACTAATGTCCTCCATGGAGGCCACAGGATTATCCACAGCAGAGCTATGCCATGGGGGAGACCTGAGATACCTCCTAAAGACTGAGAGTTTGATTTATCTTTTTTTTTTTTTTGGTGCAGATTAGAAAAAGAACACTCTCAGTTCCTGGAGGAAAAGAGAGGTTAATCCACAGAGAAGTGATTAATTGATTTTTGTGTGTACTGAACATTCTGGAAATATTTGGGAACATTGGTTGGTTGGGATAATGGCTGTTGGCTCCCAGCATGCAGCAAAAGTCGAGCAGAAGTAATTAATTAGGTGTAAATTAATTTCCCCACCTTTCAAGAGCACAAAATCAGCTTTAAAATCCACTAGAAGATGAGCTGAAGGAGGTAAGTGGTGGGTCAGCTGCCTCAGTGAGTCCATGTGTTGGAGGGAGTGAGGGAAGGTGGCTCTGCCATCACCTTGAGGAGGTGGTGAGGAAGGAGGCATCAGAGAGGGATCTGTGCATTGAGGGAGAGTGGATTTTTCAGGGCCAGGCTGAGCAATTGCACCTGAACTCTGAATTCTTGCTGTGAAGTGTCTGGGAGGAGAGAGGCCTGGTTGTATTGGATTCACAAAGTGTTCTGCTTGTTCATCCCCTCACAAAAGGAAAGGCATTGACATTTTTTATCTACTAGTTCTGGTTAAACATGAGTTTATCTGGATGGCTTTCCAAGAATGTTATTTCTGGGCCAGAAGGAGACTGACTCAGGCTTGTGTGGGGACCTCAAAGTCTTTCCAACAACATTTCCATTAGTGTTCACCTCCAAAAGCTTCCCTTGGCTTTCAAGGTCAAATGTAGGATCGTTTGGTCTTGCTTTCTGAAGCCACTCTCAGACTTCTAATACAAGCTGAGCTTAGAGCTCCAAGGGGGGTAAGAAAATTGACTTTATAGTCTGGATCGTAGCTCCCCTGACTGCTATTCTCACAAACCTGGCCACGTCACCATGTGTCTCAGCAGAGTTCAGCGTGTGCCAGTGATAATGTTCTGCCAAGAATTCAAATAATCTATCAAGAGCTGTAACTCAGACCCTCAGGGGAGGGCACAGTGCTGAGGAGGGCAGTTATGGGTTTGCTGTTCTGAATCAAATTGACAAAAAGAGCTTTTCAGGTCAAATCAGACCCTGTAATATTCTAACACATATCAGACTGAAAATAGTGCAGCAGTTTATGGGTAGAAATGTTAGCCTCAAATGAACTTGCACTCTGTTAATAACACACATCATTGTCTGCCATTTTTGGCCACATTTCTGCAAAGGCCATTAGCATACTAAATGATGGATGAGCTGTAGTTTTAAAATTATACCTATTTGAACTCTTACTTTGCTTGTGAGAGGAACATACTGGAGCTGTAATGTTAGATTCAGTCACAGAGTCATTGTTGAGCTTCCATTCCTGCAGATTCTGCATGTCTCCTTGGGCAGGTGATCACATCTTTCTTTGCATCATTTCCCATGTGTGAAAAGGAAATGATTGCCATTAGAGCAAGGTGAATCTTTCTTTGGGGCAGTCAGTTTTTGTGATAAAAGTAATATTGAAATGACAAAAACTCTTTGAACTAGAGCTGACTTGTGACTTTACCACTTTCTTTAGAAAGATCCATTGTGATACTCTGACTTCTGATTCAAACCTCATTCCTTCCCAGTGTTTAGCTGGCCAGGGTTGGCCATCTAACTCATTCTGATCTGACAGCTCACATTAGCCATACTCTTTGGCTATGAGCCCACAGAAAATGGCTAATAAACTTAGCCCTGGACCTTTCAAATCAGCTTACTGGGTAAAGCTCTCACCAGTACTTATAATAATGCAGCCATATGTGATGAAATCCTAGGTTAGTGTTTCCTGAAAAATGACTTCAATAAGGCTATCTGAGTTGACAGCCTCAGGCTTTCATGGTCCTCCCTGGGAATCTGAGGGAATAAGCTTTTCCTGCCCATGGAACTGGTTGTGAAGGGACCATTTGTGGTGTTGTAGGAGCTGGGCCAACCTATGTATTGATAAACCTGTAGAAAGTTGAAAGGTAAGGGTGGCCAATCTCATTACATAAGGAAATACAGCATCTCCTTCCTAAAGTGGCAGAATGGCCTCTTCAGTAGGGTTCAATGTCTTACCCATCATGGTCAGGTGGAACTCTAACCATTGCTCATTCTTGCATTTCAGATTCACCAAGATGAAGACAGCAACCAACATTTACATCTTTAACCTTGCTCTGGCTGATACCCTGTGCCTGATGACCTTACCTTTCCAGGGTACAGACACGTTTCTGGGCTTCTGGCCCTTTGGCAACGTCCTCTGCAAGATTGCCATCTCTATAGACTACTACAACATGTTCACAAGCACCTTCACGCTGACCATGATGAGTGTGGATCGCTACATTGCTATCTGCCACCCTATCAAAGCCCTGGACATCCGCACTCCCCACAAGGCCAAGGTGGTGAATGTCTGTATCTGGGCACTGGCTTCTGTCTTTGGCATCCCAGCGATGGTGATGGGATCTGCGGAGAATGAAAACAATGGTCAGTAGAACTACATCCTACAAATGGGGGGAGGTGGTGGCCAGGAGAGTCCATGGTCTTGGGGGATCTGGAGAGATGACAGTTTCATCAGTGGGGTGAGGTGTCAGCTGTAAAACCATCTTTCCTTTCTGCCCTTGTGTCTCTGTGTCACTGCTAGAGGTTTTCCAGTATGAAACATAGAATCACTAAGGTTGGGAAAGACCTCGAAGATCATCAGGTCCAACCATTAGCCTAAGTAGCCTCAACTAATCTGAATGTGCAGATTCTTCTCTGCTTGCTCTGTGTTTGCTGATCTTCCTTTCTGTTTTATTTTTTCACTTGCAGAAATTGATTGTCTAATTAAACTCCCCTCACCCGTGGACTATTGGGATCCAGTGTTTGGCATCTGCGTCTTTCTCTTCTCCTTTATGATCCCCGTGTTGATCATCACCATTTGCTACAGCCTCATGATCAGACGACTCAAGAATGTCCGTGTGCTCTCAGGCTCCAAGGAGAAGGACCGAAACCTGAGGCGCATCACCCGAATGGTCCTGGTGGTGGTGGCAGTCTTCATCATTTGCTGGACTCCCATCCAGATTTTCGTGCTGGTCCAGTGCTTGGGTGCCAAGGCAGAAAGTGAGCTCGAGCTGGCCATCTCCTGCTTCTGCACTGCGCTCGGCTACGCCAACAGCAGCCTGAACCCTGTGCTCTATGCCTTCTTGGATGAGAACTTCAAGGCATGCTTCAAGAAGTTCTGCTTCCCCACCGCCTTCAGGACCGAGCTCCAGATGTCCAACAGGATGTGCAGCATTGCCAAGGATGTTGCCTATGCCTGCAAGAACTCAGAGGGGACTAACAATCCGGCCTGACTAGGCATGGAAATTCCCATGGTGGCTGTCGCCCAGCAGAGTCCAACCACCCCCACGTCAGAACTAACTCAAATAACAGCTCTTTAGCAGGACCTCAAAACTGAGAGGTGAGAAACCAAGGAAACCATTTTGGGGGTTGGGAAAACCGGATACTGCAAGAGCATGCAGAAAAAGTGAGCCCACTTGATGCATTTTTAATTCCAGTGCATCCTGCACTATGGAACACATTTGAAATCAGCCCTTTGATTCCTGTGAAACCCTGGGGGTTTGCAACATTATTAAGAGTTCAGGAATTAAGGGTATAAAACAGGCATCGCTCCTGGGACTTACACTTTTGCTGCTGGGAGACAGACAGAATGCAAACTCTTCCATTTCCTCCCCGAGTTGTTTGAGATGCTAACGGGTCGTGTGGCTCAGCAGGCACTCGTGTGCGGGTTTTATTCCTGTGCCGTGGCTCTGAAATTAGACTTTGCTGCAGCCGAAGTGGGCAGGAGCCATCAGACAAAACCCAAGATCATCTCCAGGATGAGTCATCGTGCAGGAAGGGATGCGGGGAGGGAGAGGAGGGAGCTGGTGAAAAGGAAATTCAAACTGCCTGGGGAGGACAGTGCCAGCTCCTGCAGACAGGGTCTGCAGTAACACCCTCCCTGCAGAGGGGTGAGAAGGGACTGTCAAAACTGATGTCTATAACTCCGAAGAGGAGGAAAAAAAAAAAGATGGAGGAAATGAACACAGTTCCTCATTTACATGCTGCTACTGTTTTCGGCTTTGTTTTTTTTTTTACCCTGTATTTCCAGGGTAATAATGGACAGAATGTGTCTGTATATACATGTCTAGTGCTATAGGTACAGCTCTATGGTAGGATTTCACCTTGCCAAGCTTGCCTTGGGGATCTTCCTCAGTGGGAGGAGGAAGGAATGAAGTGGCCTATGTATAAATGTATTTATGTGGAGGGGAAAGCCTTTCTGGAGAAGTCAGAATGGCAGCTTCTCCAGAAGAAATGGACAATCCTGGTAGGAGGAGGCAGCCTAAACCAGTCTCACCTGCTCCACACAGGAAAAGTGGGGCACAAACCATACAAAAGGTGGGAGGTTTGTGGTTTGGGATATTTTTTAGCTGAAATGAGATCCACAATGCTGAGAGCATGTGGGAAATGCTGCCCAGGTACTACCCCTCCTGCCAACCATGGATTGATTTTCCTCTCCTAGTGTGCTGGCCAGAGCTTTGTGGAAGATGAACTGTCCTGTCATTTCATTAATAATGGAATCATCCCTGAAGAGTTTAACCACTGAGTGCCCTCTGTGCTGGGGGGGGTGGGGGGGACAGCAAACTGGTATTCTCCTTGTAGCACAACAGCCTGGGGAAATCTGGGCAGTGGTAGCCAGTGGTGCTGAGGGGGAAGAAAAGCAACAACCTCCACTTGGAAACGAGAGGTCAACTCCATTGTGAGAACTGGCAGTGTTGTCCAGACTGTACAGATTTCATGTGAATATATTTCTTGTGCTCTGGTCTATGAAATTCTGTATTTTTAATGTATTGATTTGCCAATATTTTATTGCTGTCATGTTCTTTATATATGCTATAAAAGAATCGAATGTTATATTTCTATGTAGAGTGTTTCCCTTATGGTTGGGCTTAAAATATAAATGCAATTCCAGTGTCCCACGTATAGTACCCAGATCCCTTTTAAACTGCTCAAACTGGGAGGATTTTGATGCTGATTAGCATTTGATTGGGAATCTGGAGGGATACCAGAGCAAACTTGCAATTAGCACTTCCCCTGACTAATCTGGGGGGAGGAGGAAATCTGGGCACTTTAAGCACTTTGCAATGGATGTTTATCCCCAAGCACTCACCAGGAAATCCCATACAACTCCCAGGCATGCAAGAACAACTCCCTGAGAACTGTACTGCTGGCAGGCTGCATCCATGCTCCTGGAAAAATTGAGTTTGGTGGGATGTTGTGTTCCTGGATGCAATAACAACGTTGGGCAGTGAGTGACCTTGGGTCTGCTCAAGCCCTCAGCTGTCAGACAGTCCAGGTGTGGTTAGGCATGAAGGTGGGAACAGACTGTTGGGCTGTTCTTGCCGTTAAGGAGCAGGAGAGCATTTGTTAGTGGCTAACCAAAGAAAACAAAAAAAAACGCTCTTGGTTGGGTTTTTAAATAGATTTATGTCCTCTAAAAAAAATATATCCGTGTTTGACATTTTTTAAATACAGATTTTGTTACAATGACTATGCTGCAACAACCTTACATAATCAAGTACTTCAATAAATGTGTGTTTACTAAGCTTTTGGGTAATTCCATGGCCCTTGCAGTGAATGTGTTTAGGCATATTCTGTTCAATGCTCAGTGGAGTTTGGTATAAGAAGAGCAACAAAAGCCTGAAAGCAAAATTTTATTGTACTGTGCCTATGGAGTTACAGGTTGTGGTCAGCTGGATGGCTGTAGCACTGGCTCTGTAATTCCCTTTGGAAATGGTTGTGTTGGTGTGATTTTACAACTGCTGCAGTGTAAATGACAATTTCCTTGGTGGCTACTTGTGTGCTTCAATAAAGGAAAATAAAAACTCCTGTGCTTTGACTGATGAGCTGAAAGATTTAGCTGTGTGGATCAGGGATGTCTCAGCTCATCCCTTTTTTGTGAGATCAGTGGGAACTTCTGTTACACAGGCAACTTTGTCTACAGGCAACATACGAACAGAAGATGTGAACACGCTGGAAAATTGGTGGTTGGGGATGAGTGAGCTGCCTGCACTCTTTCAACTTCCACAGGATTGCTGAGACTTGCAACAGGCATCTCTGGTGTGCAGGCAGCTGCCTGTGGTTACAGGTAAAGTCTGATTCAGGATGAAAACAAGTTCTTCCCACATACTCTACCCAAAATTCCCAGAAGCTGTGAGGTTGGGCATGATCAGGGAGAACAATAAATTGCAGAACTGCTCTGAAAATAAAGTCCAGGCCATATACTGTGGGGAAAGATGGATCAACCAGTGAGATGTGCAATAAGGAAAGCACTTTCTCTCTGCACAGAGATCAATACTCATACCCAAGCAGGTAAATATCAGGAGAGGGTTTTATTTTATTAGCAGTGGTGATTTTCTTCTTAAAAACAAAAAAAAGCAAATTGGAGAGAAAAAAAATATCTTTATTTCTCTTCTAGTTCAGTTAATTATAAATATCCAGGGGTGTGTTTTTATAGCGAAGCCATAAACCAAAGTGCTTTATTCAGTATTATGGGATTTATTAATGTACTAAGTGTTCTCGCTGCTGCTGTTGGCTGGAATCAAATGCTGGAAAGGCCAAGGAATGGATGAGCCAGGGGCTGATCTCTCCCCCAAGGAGCTCCTTGGCTTATGGTAGATAATGTAGCTTTGAAAAGACGTTTTGCTCTGCCAGTGCCACATCTCCCTTCCTCTGCCCAGGCTGTTCAGCCAACAGGTTTCCC